TTTCTATTAAAGAAATCAAATCCAGAATTTTAAATTTTCCCACATGTCCTCCTTCCTCCCCACCATCCCTCCCCACCAAAATACTCCAGGCCCAGATGGCTTCCTTGGTAGACAGAATTCTAACAAACATTTCAAAACAGAACAAATAATAAAATTTTGTACAAACTCTTCCATATAATAAAATTAGCCTGCATAACTGTAATATCAAAACCTGAAGGACATCATAAGAAGGAAAAATTATAGGTAACTATCTCATTAACACAAAAAAAAATCAAAAACAAAACACTGGCAAATTTAATGCAGTACCCCACTAAAACGTTCTCAGAGAAGGAGTATTTTCCCTAAGGAAAAGTAAGATATTCTTGATAACATAAGGAATAATGGATACAGGGTTGAAAAAAATAAAAGCCATATATAATAAAAGCTTATAATAATTATATGGCCGATGCTCTACACATTCCAATCTATGTCACTTACTCTAGGAATATAAGTATACTTCTTACATGAGAGATGAGCAGTTATAGAGAAGAGAGCATAGAAGATGATCTTCAAAACAACCAATTAGAACGATGGCTTCCCACATTCTATTACAAACTTCTTGAATAAAAATAAGACATGATCTGTGAAGAACAACATCAGTTTCCTTTCTACTGGTCTCAGTGTTCCATACTTGTTGCTGGAACAAATTTTTCCACCAGAAGATTTATGGTTTGGCTGTAATCCATCTGGGCACATTACACACAATTCAAAAAAACAGGTAATCATAAGTTAATTACACATTCTTTGTGGTCTGTGGATTTATAGTTTAACAGCTAGCATCTAAATTCCAGAAGAAATCTCTTCTGCTTTCCTGGGCCAAACAAACAAACAAAAAAAAACCTTATCAATGGACCAAAAGTCACATTTGAATTTTTTTAAGTTGTGTTCTCAAAACTAAATGCCCCTTAAATAACAAGGATTAAGCTAAAAGGAAAGTTGTCAATTAAGCATTCTTTACATTGTACAACTCTGTGAGATTCTGACACCCATCCAGTTTGAGCTTCACTGCTCAAGGGGGTTTCTGTACAAACGTCGGTAATTTTCTGGAAAATTTCAACTGTGACTAAGAAGCAATGTGGCTGGTTCAAATCCCAAGCAGCAAAAATTCTGTGAGCTGATAGCAATTTCACATTACTAAAGGTTGAAACAAAACAATCATGAAACATAAAAGGGCTGAGAAAGTATGTTTTCTCAGTTTTTAAAAGACAATCTACTACCTAATGTGCTAGCATTTAACAAATAAGAAAGAGATGTTTGGTAAAATACAAATACAAGGACGTAGAAAACCTAAATACCAAAGCCAACAGATCAATCATTAATTTTAGTCTAAATGTGCATCATCTCATGTCTACATTAATACTGTAAGAGTTTCCCAAGTTATCTCTTAATTCCAGTAAGGGACATGCCCCAAATCCATCTGAAAATCTAAATCGTCCCTAAACATTTTCACTGTGTCATTCTCCTGATAAAAAGCAACTATGGTTCCCTATTATCTATCAATCAGGTGTGTTTAAACTCAATTCTGGCTGTTTAAGACTACCATGATTTGACCTGATCCAATCTACTCAATCTCACTTCTGGTGTGGAAAGGCTGGAAGGTAAAATATGGCTACAAGTTCTTTGTAGGTCCACCAACCAAGAGGTGAAGTCTATTTCTTCCATCCTTGAATATGGGCAGACCTTTCAATTTGCAATAATCAACAGAATGTGATAGAATTGATGCTCTGTTATTTCTGATGCTCAGTCTTGAGAGACCTTGCAATTTCTGCTCTTGCTCTCTTGGAACACTACTATGTAAGAAACTTAGGCTATCCTGTCAGAAAGGAAACATGGAAGGGAACTAGCTGACGATCCCAACTCATCACTAAACATGACAGTGAGGTCATCTTGAACTGTCCAAATACAATCAAGCCACCAAATGACTGTCAGCCACAAAAGTGACTCTATATATAATTTTTTAAAAGCCTAGCTGAGGGCAGCCCAAATTTAAAAATCAAGAGCATATATGTGATTGTTGTTTTAAGCCCCTATGTTTATACATTACAGTATATTATATTATATTTTATTGTAACATATTATGAATATTTATAATTGTTTTATATATAATCCAAATATTAAAAAAGAATTGAATAAGAAAACAGATCATTCAATTTTTAAAACTAGACAACAGATTTGAATAAATACTTCACCAAAGAAGATATATGAATGGCAAATGAACACTTAAAAAAAAATGCTGAACATCATTAATTATAGAAATGCAAGTTAAAAACCTCAATAAGATAACACTACATATTTATTAGAATAGCTAAAACAAAAATAACTGACAATAGCAAGTGATATTGGTATTTATCCAAGAGAAATAAAAACTTATGTTGACACAAAAAATTATAGGGCAAAGGTTAATAGTGGCTTTGTTCATAATTGCCACAAAATGGAAACAATTTAATGTTCTTCAATTGGCAAATGGATTTTGCTATGGTTTGGATGTAGTTTGTCTCCATAAAAACTCATGTTAAAATTTGATTCCCAACAAGGCAGTGCTGGGAGGTGAGAACTAATGGGAGGTATTTGAGTCATGGAGGCAGATTCCTCATGAATAAATTAATGTCCTCCCTCTAGGGTGAGTTTTCACTCTCATGGGAATAAATTAGTTCTATCTCTTTCCCCATGCCCATTCCCCTTCTGAGTCCCACCATAAGTTGAAGCACCATGAGACCCACACCAGATAAAGCTGCCCAATCTTGGACTTTTCAGCCACCAGAATCATGAGCCCAAAAAACCTTTTTTCTCTATAAATTATCCAGTCTCATGTATTCTGTTATAGTAACACTAAACAGACTAAGATACACCTATATAATGGAATATTACTCAAAATTAAAAAGGAATAAAAATACCACTCTGCAATAAAAAAGACTAAAGTACTAATACACACAATAACACTGATGAATATCAAATACATTTTGCTAAATTTAAAAAGCCATAAAGCAAATTAACAGGTGGCAAAAAATAAACAAATAAATTTTAAAAGCCAGAATCAAAAGGCTACATAATACAAGATTCCATTTATAGGACATTCTGGGACCAGAAAAAAGTAGGACAGAAAAAATGTATCAGTAAGAGATTTTTTTGGTAATTGATGCGTCTCTGTTTTCTCTGGGAGGCAATACAGTTCATCAGAGCTCAGGTGTTGGAGTCACATATCACTTGTAAAAAGTGTCATTGGGCAAATTAAACTACTTAACATCCCTATGATCCTTCATCTGTAAGATGGTTATGAAAATGGTACTAGCATCTCATAAAGATACTGTGGAAATCAATGAGATGATCCATGCAAAGTCTTTGGCACAATACCTGGCACATGGCAATTAATGATAGCTAGTTTAAATCATCAATTTTTGGTTCCCATAAAAATAAATGAGTAAGACTCTACTGAAAGATCACCTCCTCTATGACCCTTCCTGAGTACCCCCAAGTAGGAAATAAAATAATACACAAATTCAAGAAGTTGTACATTTTCCAACCCCTGACCACTCAGTATTTTACTGACTGGTACTCCTATAATAAATGACAGGGATAATGTTTCATTCATTTTTGTCTTAACACCTAGCATTGTCTTTCATAAGACATAAAAAGACCCAAAATAATATTATAGTGAAGAAAAAAGTCATGGAAGTAGATAAAGGGAAAAATCTGAGTTCTAAAGAAAGAGTGGAAGGCAGTGGTGGTGGAGGACCATACCACAGACATCCTCACTACAGTCTCAAGGGTAAAAAACACTGCCAACTACCTTCTTCCCTCACAGAATGCTCCTCAGTTTCTATAACATAGCTGTCTCCTGCTACTCTTCCACTTTCCATTACTCAATTTATTTGTTCTTCAAAAAGAAATGAACTTTCAGCTCTTTATCTCTACTCCATTTCCCTTAGAGGCAATTACCAGCTCTAGAGTAATGACTCACAAATCTTCATTTCAAGCCTCAACCTCTATCTTGAGGGATAGCAAGCACTAAATATATGATCATCTTCAATTATAAAGTAGAGGAATTAGAAGATACTAGGTAACTTTCAAACTCAATAACTGAAAAAAATACAAAGATCATCTATGTAATACTATGATTACTTGCTCCCTGAAAATAAGGAACTTTAGTTTTTCAAACACTTGATGCCTTCTAACAGATATATGTCATATTTTTTATAGACTAGAAGCAGCAACAATAGTAATTCTCCACATTCCATATCCATTTGTTTTATTTAATGATGAATTTTTGTTTCTTCATTTTAATAAGTTATAGTTAGACTAACTCAGCCTCCCAATTATGTCTTTGCTATAGTTCATACGACAAAATTTTTAATACACACTAATTTAATCATATAAAATTTGGATTTAATATTTAATATATCAAAATTAAGACAATTATAAGTAAAATATAAGCACAAAAATAAAATGGCATAGTCTTTCTATATTTAAATTCATATGCAAAATAAGAATGCCACTATGGAGAAATTCTCTATATTTAACACATTGACTGCCACACATACAAAAAAGAACAAAAACTTTTCCTTGGGGCCACAGTGTTTTATTACAAAAATAGAATAAAAATTTCAAGTATAATTTAAAGGTAAACATAAATAGAAAACCAAAATTTATTGACTTCTATTCATTTAATCCATGTTTTTAGAATTAAATTGTCAATATTAATTGTAACAATAAGAACATCAACATTTAAGATTTTATATATGCTTCATGCGGCTCCGGGGTCAAAACTAAAGTGAGTTAAATACAACTCTTGTGGCAATTAATGTATTAATACATAGATAGAAAAATATCCTAGGATATTTAAATTTCTGCAAAGAGAGCAATTTATAAAAATTATTAACTATTTTCAGTAGCTGAATGAAGCTCTATATCTAAAAGCAAAGTATAATATTTCATTATTCTCCCTTCAGTATTTCAGAACCTACCGGAGAGATTCAGCCATTCGCCTCAAGTCTTCATTCTGCTGTTTTAAGCGTTCTAGCTTTGCCAGAATCTTGGACAGTTCTCGGCTAGAGTGATCAGGGTGGTCATTATCTCGTACCAAGTGACCACCTATATAAAATAGCAAGGTCCCCCAGGCAAAAAGAATGAGCATAATCCAACGCCAGGAACCAGTCCATGGCCGCATTTTCAGATTTGCAACTCACTCCCCTGGATTCCTGGAGCTCAAAGAATTGAAAACATTGTAACTCTGTTTCTAGTTAGTGCACAGGTGAATAGACTTCTGTTGTTTCAACACATGATGCTTCAAATGATTCTCTTATGGTCCCGTGGTGAATCTTTCAAAGAGATCCTTCTGGTGATATGAGCAGGAAGCTTTATTGTCCTGTGCTTCATGGACTCTACATGCTGTGGAAAGAATAAGAAATGTATTTAAGTTATTTAAGATATGTAAAATAGCATATACTAAGATTCATGGAGTTAAAGGAACCACACTGGTGTTGACTGGCCAACAGGATGGAAGATAACCGAATTGCCTAATAACAAGCAAAAAGTAAAAGCTTTAAGTCTGTATACTAAATCAACCACATACATTAGGGCTCTACTAGAAAACAGATTAATTAGCCTGAAAGTTCTCTTAAGCACCATCATTCACTTTTCCTTCTTACGTTATTGTGCAATAGCTCATACAGGGAGCTTAAGATTGTATCTTTGAATAATCAATCAAAACCAAAATGTTTTCAACTACATATTTTGGGGTAATGTGTTCATTATCTCAAACAGAAACATGTTCTCTGTCTGAATGAATTCATTCCTTTAAGTTCTCGACTCCTTTCTCCTCCTCCTCATTGCTCAGCTGCATTATATTGGTTAACTCTGCAAGTGACAGGCAAATTGTCACTTCAAGAATAAATCCTAAAACTGGCATGCATTTAGCTAAGCAAAGGTTATCACAGCCACTAACCAGCTGGCAACCATTCTAGCCATCACAAGCAAAGGTTTCAATGGATCAGGCTAGACTATTCCTTCCTCAAATTTATTAAAAATATCAACATTTACAACAGAATTTTAATACTAGTTACATCATAGTTAATGTGCATCTTAAACTACAAATGCACATGCTTTTATAGGCCTGGTTATGGGTTTCAATTGTAATTTCTCCATTATCAAGCGTAGAATTCCCTTGGAAACAAAACTATTTTCTCCCTAAAAAAAGAATTTGTAGGTAAAGATATAATTCAAAACCATTTGACAACTCCAGAGCTACAGAAGTCATATATCCAGGCACAGAGTTACTTGTAGAAGAGAACAGAGAAAAAAACAGGATACAGTTTCTGTACATAAGATTGACTATGAGGGGAATTTGACTACTAATTAAGTTATAAAAGATTAGATAGAAAAGTTGGAGAAGGGGTTTTAAAAATCACAGCACAAGGCCACTATTTTTCAACTTCTGAACCTCAAATCTCAATTGTTTTAAATGACCAAGTATTCAGAAAGAAGAAAATCTCTTCAGATGAGTGGCCTAGAAATGCTCGAGTGCCTTCCCATTTACTCCTCCACTATTTACCTTGATGTTATTGGTTTACACTGGCTAAAACATACAATGAAAAGAACTGTACTCACTGAAAATCATTTGGAAACCAAATAAAAAAGCAAAAAGCAAAATGAAAATTTTTTGTCTGTTGTTTTATTAACTATTCTTAAATCTATCAATATCACTGTTTGTATTGACTTCATTATTTGTCCTGTCCTTTTCTCAAAATTCTTTCTCAAATTCTGGCTCTTCTAATCTCAGGTATCCTCATCTATTCACCAAAACATAAGAAAAACATAAGAATAATTAAAGTTTATTCAATGTTTCAGATAAAAGATCTAGTCATATGAGGTATACTTTACATCTGATGTAAAAACAATACAGACATTCAGGGCTTCCTGATTTAAAAATAAATTAATTAATCCATTCTGACATCCTACAGAAATGGATTCAATTTAGTATGTATTAAACAAAAAATGTAAGTATTAAATTTGAATTAATAGTATTTATTTATTTTTGAGACAGAGTCTCACTCTGTTGCCCAGGATAGTGTGTCATGTCATCAGCCTAGCTCACAGCAACCTCAAACTCCTGGGCTCAAGCAATCCTCCTGCCTCAGCCTCCCAAGTAGCTGGGACTACAGGCATGTGCCACAATGTCTGGCTAATTTTTCTATATATATTTTTAGTTGTCCATATAATTTCTTTGAATTTTAAGTAGAGACGGGGTCTTGCTCTTGCTCAGGCTGGTCTCGAACTCCTGAGCTCAAATGATCCACCTGCCTTGGCCTCCCAGAGTGCTAGGGATTATAGGCATAAGTCCCTGTGCTCGGCCTGAGTTAATAATTTTTTGTGACAACATATGCAATACTGTAAAATACCATTATATACCACATGCTGAACCTATAATATATCCTACTTAACTCCAAGCTATTAAGATATAACTTGTCCCTCAGTATATACAGGGGATTGAGTTCCAGGAAAACCCTCCAGCCCTTCCCCTATTGCTGCAGATATCAAAATCCACAAATGTTCAAGTCTCTTATATAAAATAGCATAATATTTGCATATAACCTACATACATCCTTCTGACTTTAAATCATCTCTAGATTACTTATAATTCCTAATACAATGTAAATGCTATGTAAATAGTTGCTGTACTGTCTTTTTTAAATTTGTACTATTTTTTATTATTTTTTTCCAAATATTTTTGATCCACAGTTCATTGAACACATGGATGTATAAACCACAGATACAGAGGGCCAACAGTATATAAGATATCAAAGTGTTTTTTTCTTTTCCTTCATAACAAAAGTAACTTAGAAAGACAGACAACTAAAGCAAAGATAGCTTTCTAAAACTGAATAATTTAAATAAAAAATAATAAAAAGATATGCTACATTTTCCTTAGAATTACAACAAAAATTATCATATTTAAAGCCAACAAAAGATATAACTTGAATAGTAATAAAAGTTTACAGATACATAAATTTTGTTATACAAAGTACTTTAGATTTTTATAGCCACTATTAAAAATATCCAAGACATTAAATTACTACGTTACAAAGTCATAATGATAGTACATGAATTGTATAAAGCAAAAATTATTATAGGAACAAAATATGGTCATTTTCTTAATTAACAGCATCATCTGAACTCTGTTTTTGGAGAGAATGTTTCCCATGATTTTATTGTTCTTAGCCAGTATTTAAAAACGGGAACAACAGAACCAAGCCAGGTTGAAAAATGAGTAGTTTCTTAGGTAATTTTCCTTAGCATGGTTTAAACAAGCAGATATAGAATTTTTTCCCTATCTACTAACCAAAATGAATGCTTGCTTACTCACTCATTATGTTTATTGTTTGAACCATGCCTGTTAAAATATAAACTACATAATTTTTATTCATTTTGTTCACTGATGTATCCCAAGCATTTAGGACAGTACCTGCCACTAGGTAGACACTAGTGAATATTTTTGAATGAATGAATGAATGAATGAATGAGGGCCAGGCATGGTGGCTCATGCCTGTAATCTCAGCACTTTGGGAGGCTGAGGCAGGAGGACGGCTTAGGGATAGGAAGTTAAGAATAGCCTGAGCAAGAGCCAGACCTCAGCTCTACAAAAAACAGAAGAATTAGCTGGGCACATGCCTGTAGTCTTAGCTACTCAGGAGGCTAAGGCAGGAGGATCACTTGAGCCCAGGAGATTGAGGTTGCAGTGCACTATGATGATGCCACTGCACTAATTCAGGCAACAGAGCAAGACCCTATCTCAAAAATAAATAAATAAATATGGGAATGAGTGAGTAAAGAATATCATATATAACAGATATGTCATAGAGTCCAAGCACATCAGATGCAACTGCATTTATGCCCCACTAAAGACAACAAATCTGAATGGAGAAAGTGAGAAAGACGCGATTATAAGGCAAATGGTTCAAAAATAAAGTCATTAATAAACTTTAAGATTTATTACTGTCAACATATACCTTACAAGACACTCCTCAATTGACTAAAATTAATTGGCCTGAAAGACCATAAGACTAGAAGTCTTTTGGTTTACCTTTTCACCATGAAAAGATTTCTTATTTGCCTCATCTGGAATATTCACTTTGCAAAGACAAATGGTATGATTGAAGAAAGTATGTATAGCCATTGATAGGAAAGTCAACTTATTTTTCAAAGTATTAGTGGAAAATGTCAAATTTATTAGTAAAAATATTTCAACATTACATATACCATGAACTAATTTCTAACTAGAATTTAAATAGCAGTGCTTGAGATTTCTCCTCAGAGTGAGTTGCTTTCAAATATTCATCAATTTATTACTGTTTGAGATTCACGAAGTACCCTTCATCTGCAGAATATTAAATGGATTGAAATGTGTCAGCCTTCTTTCTACAAAGGTATTTGATTAGTGATATCACTTTAAAAAAAGAGAGATTCTCACACTATGTCTCCCAGGCTAGACTGATATCACTTTTTGGGGGTACTAAGGTATTTAAATGATCCATTTATTTTGGTATTTACAGAGTTCTTTGGGTTATATTTGCTTAATGTCTCTGGAACAATAAATACATTATATGTAATTTTTCAAAGTACTTTCCTTAACCTGGTAGCTACAGTTCAGTATCAGTAAGATAAGTAGCTTTAACAAAGTTGCTATGAGGCTTAAATAAGGTTAATATACATAAAGCATTTACTATAATGCCTCTGCCTGGAGGCATTTACTAAACATCAGCACAGAAAGTGATAACCCAAACAAAGCACAGCTATCTTCCTCAGGTGGGAAGACTGAGACCAAAGTTCAGGGTATTTAAGGTGAGTGGAATAGGCAGGTCAGTGTATTAAAGAAGAGGGAGCTGCCTAGGAAAAAAGCTCCAGAAATTTGCATAGCAGATCCTTTGAGTCTTTGGCCAGATACTAAACTAAACACACTTAGTAAGACCTCATCAGGCTGGCAAAGAACAATCATCAGGAAAAGAAAAATTAAATAAGCTGAACATATCTCAGAGATTATACAAAGTTGGAAGATTTATCAGTTCCAACCAAGTACAATGAAGATACCATATAGAACTGCGGTCCCCAACCCCCAGGCCATCTGTTAGGAACTGGGCCACACAACAAGAGGTAAGCAATAAGTGGGTGAGCAAGGGAAGCTTCATCTGTATTTACAGCGGTTCCCCATCACTTGCATCACCACTTGAGCTCTCCCTCCTGTCAGATCAGCAGTGGCATTAGATTCTCATAGGAGTGCAAACCCTACTGTAAACTACACATGTGAGGGATATAGGTTGCACACTCTTTATAAGAATCTGATGCCTGATAAACTGAGGTGGAGCTGAGGTGATAATGCTAGCTAGCACTGGGGA